GCTAAATTGTTGAGTCTGGCCTTGAATTTTCGATCCTCCTGCCTCAGCTTTTAGAGCGGGTGGGATTACATGCATGTGCCATGGCACCCAGCTCCTTTGCTTCTATACACAAGGCTGGCTAAAGAAAACTGGCTTTCTTCTGCCCACCTTTACTTTTATCCTGAAACTCCTTTGGAATCCTCCTGGGCCTTCTGCAACAGGTGGGGTGGAGGCCTGCTGCCTGCACCAGCACACTTGGCCTCAAGCCTCCCCTGGGGCTATCAAGTGACAGGCACCAACACAAAGTCCTGGTGGTCTGCTTAAGGATGGAGCCTGAGAGGGTATGGCAGCTGCATGTGATTGTGAGAAAAATGCCACAGAAAGAAAGCTAGAGTCTTGGGTCAGAATAATTAGAAGGGTCTTAGTTTGAGTAAGATCTTTGCAAATTATTAAAATAAAAACAGATGACTTGTCAAACTAATGTAAATTTAAAAATGTGTTACTGTCATGTTTATACCAACAGTTTAGTTGGTTTACTAAGTTTACTACCTATTGGAGAGAGGAGCATTTCTTGACTTCCTGTGATAATTTGACAATGAATATATAATATTTGTATAATATAAAAAATTTATTTTAAAAACAGATCTTTATCATATGATGAGCTTGGCTGGATCACTAAACATATGTGACCGGGGCTGGGGTTGGGGCTCAGTGGTAGAGCACCTGCCTGGTACGTGTGAGGCACTGGATTTGATCCTCAGCACCACATAAAAAAAATAAAATAAAAGCATTCTGTCTACCTACAACTACAAAAATTTAAAAAAAAATTAACCAAGAGAAATGGAACAATAATGATATAGTCTATATAATTTATTTTTAGTTAGGCAGCTTCCATAAAAAAGGATATGGAAAATGACAACCTCCCAAGACTGTGTGACCTGGGAGGAGGAAGAGAGGAAGAAGGCAAAACATTGATCCTTCCCCAATAAATCCTTTCCCACCGACAAGACAGTCCCTGGGAAGGAGGTGAACATCAATCCTAAAATGGCAGTTCTTGGGAAAATATTGATCCTTTCCCAGTGTCAGTGAAGCCACACATTAATCCTGTCCCAGTGACAATACAATGACCCCCAGAGGAAAAAGATAACAGAATGCTGAGCTCTGGACCCTCCATCCTTTCCCAGTAAAAAGTTTCAAATTTTTACAGTCTTTTCCCTGAATGCCCAAACTGACACATTCTGTTGAAGTGATTAAGTCATCTCTCAGTGTTACCTATAAAATCCAGACCTCTGGCTGGGTGTGGTGGTGCATGCCTGTTAATCTCAGCAGCTCGGGAGGCTAAAGCAGGAGGATCACAAGTTCAAAGCCAGCCTCTACAACTTTGTGAGGCCCTAAGCAACTCATCAAGACCCTGCCTCTAAATAAAATATAAAATAGGGCTGGAGTTGTAGCTCAGTGGTTAAGGGCCTCTGGGTTCAATTCCCAGTACTAAAAGAAAAAAACAAACCCAGACCCCTTCTATAACCAGTGGTCATTTTCTACCCAGAAAGTAAGCCCCTCCAATGCCTGACCCTGACTCTGTTGCTGAATAAAAGGCATTGCTGAGGGGCTGGGGTTGTGGCTCAGTGGTAGAGCACTTGCCTAGCACATGTGAGACACTGGGTTCGATCCTCAACACCACATAAAAATAAAATAAAGCTATTGTGTCCACCTACAACCAAAAATATATATTAAAAAAAACAACAAAAACATTGCTGATCCATGAAGTCCTGGTTATTTATGTTTTCATTATGTGCCAAAACCATTTTGGTTATTTTTGCTTACATCAACTGCTCACTGAACAGTTTGTGCTCATACTGAGCATCTTCAAACCCAAACTCTATAGCTGCCCCTTCATCTTGCTTCACCTTGTACCAGTCTCTTGCTCTACAAGTCAGAAGCCAGGGGTGGCTAACTCCTCATCATTAGCATTGATTGGCTGATAGCTTTATGGTAAAATGGCTCTAAACTCCATCCCACCATACCTTTCCCATCATTACCATCTGATTCAGGATCTTACCATTTTTCACCAAGATAATTCCAGTACCTCATGACCTCTTCCATTCCTCTAGCCTCTCCTCTCTCTGGCCTTTTTTCATTATTCATTCAACAAATATGGATTGAGTGCTGCCAACAGACAAAATCCTCTGCCTGTGTAGAGCTAACATTCATGCAGAGGCAACAGAGGAAATAACATGAGAAATAAAAATGGAGGATCATTGTGTAAGGTCTTGTTGGCCATGTAAAAAGTTGGTCTTTACTCTGAGATAAATAAGGATCCAGTAGAGGATTATAAGTGAAATGCTCTTTTGTTTAATTGATGCATTATAATTATATATAATAGTGGGAGTGGGATTCATTATTTTATATTATGGGATTTACTAACAGCTTGAATGGATGCAAGAAAATTAAACAGCACTGACACCACCAAGGTGTTTGTCCTGAGCAAGAAAGGATGGAGTTGCCACGAACTGAGATGGGAGAACTGCAGAACAGCAGGCTTTGTTTGGAGGAATACTGTGGGCTCTGTTAAGGGCATGTTGCATTTGAGATAATAGATAGCTTGATGAAGATGAAAATGTCAAGAAAGCAATTGGTGCGCTGGGGCTGGGGCTCAGCGGTAGTGCACTTACCTGGCATGTATGAGGCACTGGGTTCGATTCTCAGCACCACATATAAATAAATAAATAAAAATTAAAGGGACTAGGGTGTAGCTCAGTGGTAGAGCGCTCACCTAGCACGTACGAGGCGCTGGGTTTGATCCTCAGCACCACGTAAAAATAAGTAAATAAAATAAAGGTATAAAAAAACCCACATCAATCTTTACTAAAATTTTTAAAAATTAAAAAAAAAGAAGCAGTTGGACAAATGAGCCTGGGGTTCAGTGGGAGCGATCTGGGCTAGAAATATAAAGTTGAGGGTTGCCAGTATGGTAACTGGATGAGCCCAAGGCGGTGAAGGTAGATAGAAGAGGGCAAAGTCATGGTGATGTGAGGAGGCTGGGGGCAGGAGGAAGAACCAACCAAGGTAACTGCGAAGAAGCAAGCAGTAAGGTAGGAAGAAATCCAGGTCCCTGTGAGTCCTGGGAGCCAAGCGAAGAAGTTGATTGTAGAAGGGAGAGGTGAACCATAGGGTCTGTGACTATTCAAGTTAGTGATGTGGTTATTAAGGGTCTTGATCAGTG